CTCAGCTAAAGGAGGATAGTTGTAGCTCAAGGTTGAACTGTGGGGTCCTTGGTGCTGTCTGAACTTGGTTATTTTCTTACATATATTTCCTTACTCAAACTAAGTAACATCATCAGTGCTAGTCAGCACTGGAACTAGACTAGTACTGATGATGTCTGAGATGGTATAGGTTCTCCTGCTTGAGCAGGGGGCTGGACTAGAAGACCTCCAAGGTCCCTTCCAGCTCTATTCTATTCTGTGTTACCTAGTTTGGGTAATGAAACATCTGCAAGAACACAAACAAGCTCAGGCAGCATCAAGGACCTCTCACTTAAGTGAGACAGATAGTAAGAGTGGCCTAAGAAACTCTAAACTCTGGAAACCACCTGTGCGTGGAGTGGGACAACTCATCGCAGCCAACTCACCACGGCCAACTTGCCATGGGACAACTTAACAATTCAAGTGAATTATTTAAAATAATTTTTAAAATGTTTTAATTTTTGCCATTCACATTTCATTTTGTCCCTCCTTTGGCATCCTTTCTTTAAGGATTCTATTCCACTATTTCTTTGATATTAATGTAACTCTTGTCCTGCAGTGAGTTGGCCGCGGTTGGTTGACTGTGGTGAATTGGCTGTAGTGAATTGGATATGGCAACAGGTATTTCAAGAGGTTATGGCAGGGGTAGGCAACCTTGGCTCTTTTATGACTCGTGGACTTCAACTCCCAGAATTCCTGAGCCAGCCAAGCTGAGGGGAAAGGGAGAGGTTTCCAAGCTGAGCCATGCTGGCTCAGGAATTATGGGAGTTGAAGTCCACAAGCCATAAAAGAGCCAAGGTTGCTACCCCTGGGTTAGGGTCGTGTTGCTTGGATGTTTGGAATCCTCTGATGGGATGCCTTTGGAAATGGGATACCCTTACATTTAGGTCTCATTCTTTCTGGGAAGTGGCCCACGCCTGTCTGCCCTCTTCCTCTTAAGATATCTATCATGTCAGGCCACAAATCCCATTCCTGACCGATTTGAGATACCCTGTTTGAAGCAGCCAGAAGTGAAATCCATATGCTCCCCTGGCTGAGCCATCTGCCTCAGCCAATTGGGTAAATATGTTACTGTAGGTTTCTTTTCTACTTCAAGACCGAACAGGGAAAAAAAAAATCACTGTCCAATTTAGCTGCTGGCAAGCTGCTCATTTTGCTTCCCACCCCTTCTTCCCTGCCTGTTTGCCAAGACGATCAATCCCAGCCAAAGGTGGGAACTTTGTTTGTAGCCAGCGAGAGCCAGCTTCTTCAAAAAGGGTTTTGTCGCTTTTACCAAGCTGCCTTTTCCACAGACAAAATGTTTCCATGGAAAAATACCCTCCCGGGCTGAACTTTTCTCATGAATCTCCACCTCTTTTCTTCCGCCTTTCAACTCAAGTGACAAGCTTGATATCGTTATTATTGGCAACCAGAAGCCGGCAGACCAAGTTGAGAAGATCAAAGACCAGCCTGCAGACAGCCGAGGCCCAGCCAAGATGAAGTTGCATTGGATTTACTGTAAATTGCTCCGAGGTTCTGTGAGGATTTCAGTTTATAAAGGCAAATACCTTTCGTCTGATGCCAGTCTTAGCTTTCTCCTTTTGTGATCACAAAACCTTTGATTGTAAAACAGCATATTTTATCTCTCCATTAATCACTCTTCTGTGTGCAGAAATAAAACTGCAGTATTTACAAGGGTAATACTGTATTATCCACCTTTGGCACCCAGTGAATCTTAAAGCAATCTTTGTAAGACAGAAACTTGTTCTATTTGAAGGATTTTTAACTACAAAAGAGCAACCCATTAAACATTATTTTCATATGAAGTCACAATTTTCGCTTACCTCTTCATTTCTCAGGGTCACTAGCACTTAAAATCACTGAAATTATAATACATAATATGTTAGATTTTGTAATTTTAGTGTGTAGAAAGCTTGAGTTTCTCAAGTTTTTTTTTATATACCTTAAAGCAGTCCATTTCCAAAAAAACATCCTTGAATATCTCACAAGGACAAAATTTCTGTTCCATTTTCAAAAGGTGACAAATGACTGCCGGATGAATTAAACTCTTGAGAAAAAATCTGTTGCTTCTGCATGAGTTTCAAAAGAAGATCCATTAGCCTTTAAAAATGATTTGAGGTTCTTTCTTTTTCAAAGTTTGCTTATCATGTGGCCATGAATGTAATCATGCCTCAGGACTGAGATCCTTTTAAACCTCTTCCAAATGGCTGCAAATGTGGTCAGAAGAATGAAGTCATGAGACAAACCAGCCTTGAGAATCAGACCATGTCCTATGCCTTTTCAGGTATCAATCCAGAGAAGAGGCTGGAGTTAAGGAAAGATGCACTCTGTGGTTACTCATTGCTGAAAATGTCCTGCAGATAATAAACAACCATGATTTACAACCATAATGGAGCCCCCCCCATTGCGGTCGTAAATCATAAACCTCGTAAAGTGGGTCACCAAATGGTTGTCCCGATTTTACTTTTTTTGTGGGGGTTATTAAGCGAACATGGCAGTCGTTAAGAGAACCCTCTGTTTTCTATGGGTGCTTTTGCCTAAAAAAACTGGAAGTAAATGCTGGGTTTGGACAAAAGTGTTATAAATAGTGACCACAGGACCATGGGATGCTACCAATGGCTGTAAATGCAGGCTGGTCGCTGAGTGGTGAAAATAGGATTAAGTGACTGCGGGGTGTTGGTTTGCAGTTGAAATTTTAGAACTGGGCTGTAAGTTCCTTTTCGGGGTTCATCATACTCATCCTTTATGGAGGCGTGTGCTTGTTTTTTGCTATTGAAAAGTTGCATTTTTAATCAATTTGAATATTAAAAATTTAAGCAATCACCATTTCCCATTCCATGACAGACTTCTTCTATTACTCTGTTAATTTAAGCTGCAACATTGGCTCCCAGAAAGATACGCACCCAGATCATCAGTTATTCTACCACAGACATGTCAAACACAAGGCCCGGGGGCTGGATGTGGCCTGTGAAGTGGTTTCATGTGGCCCGCGAAGCCATCCTGGAAACAGTGAGGGAACGGCCCCTACTGCCTTGGCCCAGGCCCAGGCCAGCCGGGAGCCAATGTACAATTTTGTGGTGGCCATCTATGCTGAAACGCATTCAGTCTTAGCTCCACAAGGCCATCTGGAAACAGTGAGGAACCAGCCCCTACTGCGTCGGCCCCACCCCCTGGGTGCATGCTGGGGAGGTGTCACCCTTTGTGAGGATTGAAGAAATGCACCCATCACCTGGAAGTGGCCAGCAAATGGCCCTCGCCCACTTCATATATCTGGCTTGATGGGCTCTGGGGAAGGGGTTTCGGCAGGCAGCGGGGTGCTCTCCTCATAGTGCCGAGAGGCTGAGCTGGGCAGTGAAAATCCAAAAAGAAACACGAGGCTGCCCAGCTCCCAGCCTGTCTGGCTTCAGCAGGCAGCGGGGCGCTCTCCTCACAGCGCCAAGAGCTGAGTTGGGTGGCGCAAATCTGATGAGAACTGCAATGCTGCCTAGCCCCCAGTCTGCCCAGTTTCAGCAGGCAGCAAGGTGCAAAGTTGGCGAGCTTTGCACCGCCCGGCTCAACCTCTCGGCACTGTGAGGAGAGCGCCCCGCTGCCTGCTGAAACTACGCCCACCCAGTAGGCCACACCCACTCCATCCACGCCCACCCAGTAGGTTGGACCCACCTTGGCCACATACCCCTGCCCCCCCCCTGAGGGCAACCGCAATGCTGATGCAGCCCTCAGTGAAATTGAGTTTGACACCCCTGTTCTACCACTTTCACTATTTTTCCAACCTTCCTGATGCTGCATTCTAAGGGGTCCCTGAAGCTTTCCGAACTTGGTTGTTTTCTTGCATACATTTCATTACCCAAACTACATCATCAATGATTAGCGACTAGCACCGGTGAGGTTAGCTAGTTTGAGTAATGAAACCTCTACAAGAAAACAACCAAGTTCAGAAAACACCAAGGACCCCCCATTTCAACCCTGAGCTACCAATATTCTCCTTTATTGCTACATTCTGAGTCTGCATTCAAACCATACATTTAAATACAATGAGGCTGTTTGACTCGACTTAATATGTTATGCGAAGGCCGCCGTTGTGATTTGTGAAATACATTTTACGATTTAACATGCTCACAATCTCAACTAATTGAGGTTTGGTTTAACTATGAATAAATAATTCATGGTAAAAAAAGATGTTGAGACTCTAGAAAGAGTACAGAGAAGAGCAACAAAGATGATTAGGGGACTGGAGGCGAAAACATATCAGGAACGGTTGCTGGAATTGGGTATGTCTAGTTTAATGAAAAGAAGGACGAGGGGGGACAGGATAGCAGTATTCCAATATCTCAGGGGCTGCCACAAAGAAGAGAGTATCAAGCTATTTTCCAAAGCGCCTGAAGGCAGGACAAGAAGCCACGGATGGAAACTAATCAAGGAGAGAAGCAACCTAGAACTAAGGAGAAACTTCCTGACAGTTAGAACAATTAATCAGTGGAACAACCTGCCTCCAGAAGCTGTGAATGCTCCAACACTGGAAGTTTTTAAGAAGAGACTGGACAGCCATTTGTCCGAAACAGTATAGGGTTTCCTTCCTGAGTAGGGGGTTGGACTAGGTGACCTTCAAGGTCCCTTCCAACTCTGTTGTTGTTGTTGTTGTTGTTGTTGTTGTTGTTGTTATTATTATTATTATTATTATTATTATTATTATTATTATTATGTATTGAACCATGGTTTCTGAGCCATAGCTTGTTTAGCAAGCCAGAGAGAAGACCCAGGAAGAAAGGTGATTGGAATTTTGAAGTCTGGGGAGTATCGGTTTTAGCATTAATAGATTTGTTAAGTGTTGGAAGATATTTGTTTCCTGACAAAGACTGACAGCACACATATGACCCTAAAGTGGAAGAAGAGGAGGCACTTACAACCACCTTTTCCTGCAATTCCCTTTGATGTGTCTGTTGCATTAGTGCATCATTCTCTTTCTTCTCTGTTTCTGTATCCAGCTTGATCCCGAGAATACGGGTTACATCAGCACAGAGAAATTTCGGTACCTCCTCCAAAGACATAGCTCTGAACTGGATCCACATAAACTGGAAGTACTTTTGGCTTTAGCAGACAACAATTCGGATGGAAAGATTTGTTATCAAGACTTTGTCAACTTGGTAAGTGATTTTCTAGCTGGCAGAGGAGAAAATGAGTGTGGGTGTCAGAGCATCCATGTCTGCAAATACCTGGGAATGTAAAAGAAAGACACAGAAGCCTAATGAGAAGGGAATACAGCTAGTCCTCAACTTATGATCACAATAGGGACTAGAAAAATCATTAAGTGGCACAGTTGTTAAGCGAGGTATCGATTGCACCTGATTTTACCTTTTTTTGCCATGATTGTTAAGTGAATCACCAAGGTTGTTAAGCAAGACATCACGCAACTGCATCGTGACCATGTCTGCTGGCTTCCCCATTGACTCTGCTTGCCGGAGGCCACCTGGAAAGGTTCAAATGGTGATCATGTGACCAACAAACAAGGATGATTGCCAAGCATCCAAATCACGATCATGTCACCGTAGGAATGCTACTGTGGTTGTAAGCATGAAAATTAGTTGTAAGTCACTTTTTTCAGCATTGTTGTATCTTTGAACACTTGCTACATCGATGGTCGTAAGTTGAGGACTACCTGTATTCTCTAAAAGGAAAAGGGAAGCACTGGTAGGTTAATCAACATAGGAATCAATCAGCAATTCTTGCCTTCCCTGCAGAGATTGGAAGGGGATGACCAGCCAGATTATTGGAGGCTTGACTAAGTGCCAGCCCAGTCTGGGCTGGAATTCTTAAAATTGGTTTTAGAATAGCCAGCAGTAGCCCAAGAAAGAAGCAGCTTAAGTTGCTGTGGTGTATAGAATTGCCCTGGAGTTTAGAAACCCTTCCCATGCAATATTATACCTGTATTCCTGCCCAGGAATTCATGTATAATTTGTTTATTTGCGCATTTATTTATTCAATGTATTTGTTCTGTGTACCAAGTAGAGATACATTTCCCAGTGTGTAGGGTTAGAAAAATAATATGTTCCTTTCTCACCAGTATGTTTGCATTTCTACTTAGCTAGAGTTTGGAGATTTCCAGCCATTTTGAAAACTGAATGATTTTAGACCCATCTGTGGTCAGCCCCTTTTTTTGTCCCTTTTCCAAAATTGAATTATTCAAAAACACAGTTCAGTTTTGGAAAAAAGACCCAGTCGAACAAACCACAATCTCTTTCTTTTCCTTTTCTGAGCTGGAGAAAAACCAAGGGAAGGAAAAGGAGAAAAATTTGAGAGGACTCAGAGAAAAATTAAACAAACAAAACAAAACAAAACAAAACAAAACCCCGGTTGTGGTGCCCTGCTTTTTAGAGTGAAATGAAAGATGAACTCACAGTGTGGGAAAGTTGGAGATTGATGGGGTTAAGACAGCTGAGTTACTTTAGAAAGTGCAGATCAATCCAGTGGGGGTCTTTTAATTGGATGGCAAGGGAAGAAGCAGAGAAGACTAAAAAATGCATTCAAGAGGGCCAAAAGGCAGAGCAGAAGCAAACTTGCTGTGCATGCTTGGAGATCAATTACAAACCCATACCTTTGATGTGATGTGGAATTTGGCCTAACTCCCAAGTAAATATTTTGGCAAATGACTATTTGTGTTCTACGTAAAAAAAAGTGTAGCTTTGAGATCCAAAACTTTTTTGAAACAATGCTTAAACATACACACTATCTTCTCCAAAAGGAACTGAGTTTTGTTGAGAAAGCTATAGATGGAGTTCCTTGGTATTCTTCCTATTTACTAGCTCTGGCTATCTCAATGGCTTCTGAACAAGAACGTATTTAGTGAATTTATGAAGACCCTCCTATGGTGAATAAGCGTTGCTTTGACAATCTGTTTCCCATCTTTCCTAAACTCTGTCTACACACAAGCAAATCGCAGTATCACAAACACTTCGGTCTCATGGATGGATGGATGAATGGATGGATGGATGGATGGATGGATGGATGGATGGATGGATCTTCCATGAAGATCATGGATCTTCCATGACCTTCCGTGAATATCTGGATAGATGGATAGCTTCTCTCAGTATCCATCTCTAGTACCATCATGTTCTGTCCTCAACACAGCTGTATAAATCTTGAATGTAGTGAAAAAGACGACCATATTTTCTGATGAAAAAGTGATATGCCACCATTTGTTTGTTAGATTTTTATTCCGCTTTTATTACTTTATCCGAACATACCTAATGCTCGCTTTTATTACTTTATACTTTATCCAAACATACCTAATGCTCCTTCCTCTTCCATTTTCCCCACAACAACAACCTGTGAGGTGGGTTGGGCTGAGGGAGAGTATCAAGGTCAACTAGCTGGCTTTCATGGTTACGGTCTCCCGTAACCTGGTGTCTTAACCTCTAGACCAGACATGTCAAACTCAAAGCTAGCAGACCAGATCTAGCCCGTGTTGTATTTAGATCTGGCCTGCGGGATCACCGTGGAGACAGCAAGGGCCCGGCCCCTGCTGCCTCGGCCCCAGCTCACCCGGAGGCTGCATACATGGACGAGCCTCCTACCCATTATACCTCCAACAGCCCCCGGCAAATGGGAAGGAGGCAGCCGGGACTCCTTTCCCTGCTCTGCCCTGCCTGAGCTTTGCCCCAGAACTGCCCTGTGCCGGAGTCAGGATGCCGTTTGAGGCTCGCTCTCTGATCCCGCTTTCCGTCCCTTGGTCTATCAAGGCTGTGTCCGTGGAGTAACTGTATATGCTTCAAGCTTCCCAGTGCTTCAAGTAATCCTGGCATCTCCCAAATTCCATCAGCCAGTCCGCCTCCAAAGGAGCCGTTTAAGCGAGGGGGTTCAGGATCAAGAGGCCAAATCCCCCTGGGAGGTTCTGGACCCTGAGCAGCGCTTGTAGGTGTCATCCAAAAGGCTAAAATCTACTTTCGTTGAAATTGGCTGCAGTAATCAAATTTTTCAAATCTGATTTGTGCTGAACCTCCTTTTTATCCTATGAACCAGGGAGGTAGCTGCCTGAGCTATTTCCAAATTTTCTCTGGGCTTGAAAACTCCTTCAGCCCCTTTTGCCTAACAAGAGGGCTCTCTACTGTCAGTCGAGCCGGCCACGCCCACCCAGCCACACCTACCTAGTCGTGGTGACCAGGCCACGCCTACCCAGCCACGCCCATCTGGCTCTTTGAGGGCAACCATAACACCGATGCGGCCCTCAATGAAACTGAGGTTGACACCCCTGCCCTAGACTGACCTGGCTCTATTGTTTCCCTTCTTTCTTTGGTTGTTTTTCGTGTTTTTATTTTCTCTGTTCCAAAACGCTTTTTCTTTCTTTCTTTCAATCTTTAGTTCTGCTCAGGCAACCTTAGCAGCTTTCTGGAAACCAATGTGACTTCCTCATACTGGTGCTCAGTAAATATTTCTCTTTATTATGAAGTTTCTTTGAATCTTCTCTGTTCTAAAGCTTCCAGTGAGTCAAACAATCTGCAGGCTGTTGCTGTTAGCAACCCCCATTGCACTCTAAGCCCAAGTGTATCGCGCACATCCATGTGTAATCTCATATGCCTTCTAAGTAGTTTCCCACATATAGTGAACAGCATCTGCAATAAAACATGGCTTTAGTGCAGGGGTCTTCAAACTTGGCCCTTTTATGACTTGTGGACTTCAATTCCCAGAATTCCTCAGCTAGGCACACTGGCTGAGGAATTCTGGGAGTTGAAGTCCACAAGTCGTAAAAGGGCCAAGTTTGAAGACCCCTGCTTTAGTGTTTACTGAAATGAATCTGGAGCACTGCTAAAAACCAAATACAGTCTTTAAATGCTGCCTTTCAGAAGTTTTGAATTCTCCATAAACTCTGGTATCCCCCCTTGACCCTCAGGATCTTTGATTTGAAATGTGGATAAGCATAGGTTCTTCATCTCTAAACTCATCCAGAAATTGCTTGCTTTTCATAATTTTGTGTCTCTCCATGTCTGTATAGATGATTTGAAGTGCAAGGTCAAACTTTAAGAAGGTGACCTCCCACCCGCCCCCACCCCTGAGTAATTTTCTGACTTGCTGGCTAAATAATTTACTTAAAAATGGAACAATTTGCTAAGAGAAAACCTTTCACTGGTTTTAGATTCCCATAAAATTGAAATTCCATTCTGTATCTCTTGGTTCTACCAGAGATGTTATTCTTATCAATGCCTTCGGTCCATGCTTAGGGTTAAATAGATAGCAGTCAAATTAATTGCCTTTATTGATCTTCTTTCAAATTCTTTAAGTGCAATTCGGGCTGTCCCTTGTTCTTCTATTTTACCTGTTTATCCTCTGAATAAACTTTCTATAATTATATAATTGACCGTAATGATTTTAAAAGATAATCTTCCCTAAACATTCCCCCAAACTATCTCTGCAAGATGACATGATTGCTAAACTTCCCTTCGTCTCTTTGCATTTTCAAAAGGTTTTGTTAAATTCAGTCTTAGGTTTTAGGCAAGGAAATCTAGCATAACTGTTAATTTTTAATTTAATAAAACTGTTAATTGTATTTTATTTCTAGAGATGGACTGTGCATTAAATCTCTCCAACTAACCATAGATTATGGGCTGGATTAGCTTGTGAATCTGGGCTGGGTAGTTCCTTTTTGTGATTTTCTGTGGGTTTTGGAACACAGCTGAATTGCATCTGGTTACTCGTGGAAATTACCAGGAAATACCAGGTGGCCTACATTTAGAAAGGAAACCATACTGGCAGAAAACATCAATAAACTCTTTCCATACACAATGTCAAAGACAAAAAAAAAAAATAAGCTTTTGGATCAGCTCTTTATTGAGAGATGGATCAACACACATCTTTTTACTTGGGTGTGTGTGTTGCGTTCGATTTTCTTTCTGTTTTTTTTTGTTTCAGACCCATAAAAACACGGAAATGCTTCTTAAAATTGTATTTTTGCTCCTATGCCAGAAAAATCTCACAAGGGATTTTCCCTACGCAAATTGCAAAAATAATTGGCACATAATTAACTGTGATGAAGTTTCATGATATTGAAGACTGTCTGCTTAAGGCACATGCCCTATTCTGCCCTGCTTCTCATATTTAACTATTGTCTCCACCCCCCAATTATCTCTAAATTCATAGAATGCAATAACTTGCT